CATCTCCAAAGCCTTTACATTTCCGAAAGCTTTTATCATATCCCACCTCCAATAGTGTCGGTGAACCAAAAGGGTTGGGGGATGTCAAACATCATGCATATTATCATCAGCACAACTTAAGGGCAACTTAAATGTAAATAGACCCAAGGAAGCTTCATTACAAAGGGGGCAACCACACATGAGCAACACAAGCCCATAAATAGAGCCCCCCAATGTTGTCAAAGAGTTGCACAACCTAGTACTGAAGGAGTGCTTAGTGACACCATGGAGGCAATGGCCACTCTAGTTGTCATAAAGAGACATGGCTATCAATATATAGGCAAAGGAGAGATCAGGGGCACAACTTTGGTTCCTATTCATTTATGCTCTAGTTTGGTTCCTATTCAATTATGCTCAAGTTACATCTTTATTAAATCCAATAGCAATCAAGGAATAGATTACTCCCCCATCTCTATTCTCCTTTTCAAAAGCATGTTAGTTAAAGATAGGCATATGTTTCTTTATATCATTAGAACACTCGATTTTTTTTATGTGAAAAGACTCTTAGGTTCAAGTATTGATCTTTCTCTTTGTCCCAACATACCATCCAGTATATTTTAGTTCATATAGTTAGTTTTAATTTGTAGAGTTTACTTGAAGCTCATCTAATATTATTTCTCAATCAAAGAAGTTGTCCATATTTGTTATCCAATTTGAAAATAATTTTGGATCTACTCCCCCATCAAATATAAATGCATTAGCTTTAACTTTCCAGATTACGTTTTCATCAGTGTTTTAAAATTGTAGCTTATGGTTATCATAATTTTTATTGGCATTGTCCCTATGAAGTCAATCATGGTTATCTCTAAAATGATGAGTTTCTTGATTCTTAATAGTAAAGTGAATGGATTCATCATTAAGGCCAGAATCATTGTCTAGTTTTTGTGGGCGAAGTTGATAAGTTTTCATATCATATAGTCGATCTTTAATCTCACTTATTTAAGTTTTTGTTTGATTTTCTTTTGTTAGCCATTCATTTTATTGGTTTCACAAAGCAACTAAAATCTCATTATTTTGGTGATTTGTTAACAAAACCTGATGTAAAGCCCCACTTTCAACCATTTTGATATGATCTTAGCTCTAATACTAATTTGAAATGGCATGTCTTAGAATCTAAGATATATTAGCACAAGGATGAGAAGCATAAATAAACAAAAAAAAGACAAATTCATAATTTCTCAACAATTAATTTAAGGAAAAACTTATTATATTTGATATGCATGAGAAACAAACTTTATTCATTCTAAAAAATAATTTAAAAGCGATCAAAATCTAAAATTCCAGCAAGAAAATATAAGAATTCATATAAATTTTGCAACAAATGAAATTCACAACACAAAAAGGAAACCAATACATATCAAACATGACAAAACACATGAATCACTAAAATAATTTTGTAATAGGAAAACAGATAAAAATTACTAATTGAAAGATTTAGGCCTCATGCTATAGTACAAAAAGATTCGTCCTCAAAAAGCTATCATCAAAACTTGTAAAGAGTCCGAAGTATCAACAATCAACATCATGTATAATACACAAGAATTGAGAGGAAATATACTATTTTCCACTATTTTAACATTCCATGTGTTTTTTCTATGCCTCAAAGCATGTAATAAACACAAAGGTCAAAAAATTTAGAAAAAACAATAAGAATAAAATTATCAATGGAAAGATTTAAGCCACACGTAATACAAGGAGATCTGTCCCACAAAAGATGTCATCAACAAAACTTACAAAGCGCTCAAAGAACCCATATACAAAAACACAAATGAATTGAGATGAAACAAAATTTTATTCCAATACTCAACCATTTAATATTTTTTTACATGCCTTGCGTATCCTTTCTATAACACAATAAATACCTAACCTAATATGATACGCCATGGGGATCAACTTGGGACAGAAGATGCTCCTCTCGAAAGAGGACCATTGTATCTTGCTCGTTCGTATTTCATTTCTTATTAATAAAAATATACGGTTTGCTGAATTTCTCTTGGTTTGTTGACTGTTTTTGGAACCAAGGCGTATCAAATTAGTATCAAAGCAATTTCTTGGGACCGATGGCCGAGAGAAGAGTTAAGGTGTTGGAAAAAAAATTGGAGAGGGAAGTAGAGCAGCAGCAAACGGATGGGGATCAATGAATGAGCGTTTTTCAGCAATGAAATGAAGGCTTGGGAATTTAGAAGATATGATGATGAAAATAATCGAGATGCAGACAAATGCTTCAGTGGCAATTCCTAGGACTAAACCAAAAGGGAAAAAAATTTCTGGAGGAGATGATGAGAAAGCTCATGGAGATGCGATCCAAAATCCCACCAACGTTCCAATTGCTAACCGTAATCAAGATTTGATCGGAATTCCCTTAGTTGAATCTACAGGGAAGAGATTGGATGGGAAGAGTTCAATGAAGAGAGCTCTTTTTATCAAGAGCCACCTCCTAGGGCTCTAACAAGGGGCAGAATACGGTTTTCGGATGGGGGGACAACATGAAAGGAGTTTTATGGTGGAGCTGGTAGGATGACTGACCACTATAGAAGGTCGTTTGAGCAAGGGGAATGGACAACTGGAGAAGGAGGTGGACAAACCAAGCCATGGAGATCAAGACATGTCAGGCATGTGGAAGAAAGGTGGGATTCCCACCCTCGATACACAGGGGAAACAGGGAGGGATCACGACAACCGCTACACTGGAGAAGGAAGAAGTTATTGGGGCAATAATATAATACCCAAAGTTTGTTAAAGTAGGAATGCTGTAATAATACTTAGCACTAATTTGATTTAATGGTTAAAGCAAATAATCCATTTTCCTATTTACGGTTACTGTAGCATATCCACTTAGCTTGGCATGCAATGGCTGATCCCTTTCATGCTTCATCCAACGGATAACATTAATGCATAGTGGCTTAGTGGAAATGTAAATATAATATTCGTTTACGATTACTGTAGCATATCCACTTAGCTTGACATGCAATGGCTGATCCCTTTCATGCTTCATCCAACGGATAGCATTAATGTATAGTGGCTTAGTGGAAATGTAAATATAATATTCATAGTGGAGGATGAGGTGTTAAACGATAAATATATGAAGTCTTTGACTTAAGCTATCTTGAGATATTTTTCCTTATCCCTCCCTGAGAGTTCCTGGCGTTGAAGGCTGGAAGGGGAAATGGTGCAACCAAAGCGCAACTAAAGTGCAACTAAAGGGCAGCTAAAGGGCAGCTAAAGCGCAACTATGTCATCAAAAGCATATGTCATTAGGGCTAAAAAGGATGACTATATAAAAGGTGAAATAAGTTATATATGGGGGATAGGCCCGCACAAGGAAAGGCGAAAGACCTGATGAGGTAAGCCTACACCCTTAATTCTAGAAGTTGAGAAATTTGACTCAACCCTGAATGAGAAAACAGCTTCCATTCTAAAAGTTGGGAAGTTAGACCTAACCTTGAATTGGAAAGTTGAAATGGTACAAAAGCTTATAGCCATTATATAACTTATTTAAAGATGTGGAATAATTTTTGTAAGATAAATAATACGGTTAGGCACTTGCAGGCTCAATATGACATTTCAATATGTTAACATTGTTAAGCATTTCTTATTTGTTTATTATTAATTCTTGTCTATTATTGGTGTATTTCATTGGGCAATAGCTCATTAGCAGTGGTTGTACTGCAGGTAAGGAAAAGGAGCCCATAGGGCACTAGGCGAGAAAGAGGTGATCATCTGTTTTTGATGTAAATATGTTTTGGAGTACAAGGAGATCTGAATAATAGCTGTATAAACCTTTTGATATGTAAGTAAAGTACAAAAGTTTTAGTAGAGCTCTGTAATTGTTTTAATTATGTTGATGTTCAGTAAGTAATATTACATGCTTCCTGTTGTTAAGAGTGGAGTTTGATATGTTGAAATCCTTCTCTGTTATACTTCAGCTTGTGGTAGAGGGTGAGCCAAACTGGGGTGTGACAAATAATGATTCTAGGGTGAGAAATTTGAAGGTGCAAATGATTGAGAACAAGGCTTTAAATATTCTCAAGAAGGAAGGTGAGGAAGTACCTGTAGAATTACTCAACAATATTGAATTTCTCTACTTTGAGAAGGGGAAGTTTGAGTTGGTTTAGCAAACTTCCAAGAAAGCACTTGGAGAAGGCGTTTTCCTGTCTTTTTATTTGAAAGAACAAAATGTTATATTGGGGATTGTGGTGCATACAATGGGCAGTACTGGGATATGACAATATTCCACCAGCTTGAAGAAGAAGGTATTTAGCTAGAATATCTACGGGATAAAATAACTACTCTATTCAACTATGTCAAACTCCTTGAGCAACAACGCAACAGTGACAATGCAAGTATACGATACCGGCTGACCTTGTTTAAGTATCCAGATTACTTTGATGCTTACTTAAGGATTGCAGCAATGGGCAAGGAAAGGAAGAATATTCAACTCAGCATTGAAATGATTCATGAAGCTCTTAAAAAAAATAAGTGCCGTAATGCTCTGACAATGCTTGGTGATCTTGAACTAAAGAGTGATGACTGAGTTAAAGCCAAAGACACCTTCTGTGCTACCCGGGATGCAACTAATGGAAAGGACTCCTGTTCCACTCTCTCTCTCTCTCTCTCTCTGGGTAATTGGAACTATGTTGCAGCTATACGATCTCAGAAAAGAGATCCAGAATTGAAAACTACCCATCATGAGAAGGCAAAAGAGCTCTATACAAAAGTTTTAATGATGTGCTCCGCAAATCTCTATGTTGCAAATGGGGCTAGCGTGATTTTGGCCCAGAAATGTCATTTTGATGTCTCAAAGGATGTTTTCACGCAGATTCAAGAGGCTGCATCTGGAAGTATATTTATTCAGATGGCAGATGTTTGGATAAACCTGGCTCATGTCTATTTTTCTCAAGGTCATTTTTCCTTGGCTGTGAAGATGTATCAGAATTGCTCGAGGAAGTTTTACTACAATACAGATTCTCAAGTACTTCTTTACTTGGTTTGAACTCACTATGAGGCTTAACAATGGCAAGATTACAAGAGAACATTGCTTAGAGACATCCATTTGGAACCTTCGAATTATACTTTCTGGTTTGATGCAGGAGTTGCAATGCAAAAAAAATTCAGCATCAACTCTGCAAAAGTCAAAGATAACTGCAAATGAGTTACATGCCACAGTCACAGAATTGAAGAATGCAGTCCGTGTGTTCAATCAGCTTTCTGCAGCTTCTAGCTACCATTCTCATGGAATCAATGAGAAGAAGATGCGAACTCATGAAAAGTATTGTAAGCATTTGCTTGATGCTGCTAAGGTACACTGTGAGGCAGTTGAACGTGAAGAGCAACATAACCACCTGAAGTTAGAAGATAATCGTCGGTATTCCTTGGCAGAGGAAGCTCGACGAAAATCTAACGAACAAAGGAAATATCAGTTGAAACGGAGAAAAAAAGAGGATGAGTTGAAACGAGCAATACGGCAGAAGGAAAATTTTGAGCGTATAAAGGAGCAATGGAAAAATTACATCAATACCTCTAGAGGTAAGCGCAAAGATAGGCCACAGTTTAAAGATGATCATGGCGGAAATAGAGAAAGGAAGATAAGGAAAGGTGGGAAAAGGAGAAAGAAGAATAAGAAGGATTATTATGAACAAAAAGCAGATATAGAGGATGAGCTTTAAGTCATGATGAATGTATATGAAGTTAGCGTTGAGGATGAAAGGCAAAGCCAAGTGTGAGCTGTCCTTGCAGAAGAGATTACTAAGTTCAAACAAGAAGCAATTTATGGGGAGCTTAGTCCTCCAAAAGGAAAGAATGGACACTCTCAATATCAAATATGTTACCAAACACAAGATTATCAATGTTACCATCACTTGATGAACTGGTGAGCATATCATCAAATGCTCTAGTAGCAATGGCTTCTCAACTTTCAGAGGCTGAGGAAAGAGAGCGAGCATTCACAAGTCATGGCTGGTGGAATCAATTGCGATCAATAGGAGATGATAAGAATTTGCTTCAATGCATGTTTAATGTTGCTGCGATTGCAATATGCCAACTAAGGAATAAGGAAATAGAGATGAAGCAGCTGAAGAAGAACAATTTCATTTGGGGGAAAGCAGCAACACGGGTCTTCGAACAACTAAAGAAAGTCATGACCGACGTCCAATCCTTCTACCTTGAGGATAAGATGCATTTTTTGGGGATAGTATTGATATGCCCAAGGGGGGCATCTTGTTAGGACCAGGGACGATATGATTCATTAGGTAAGGAGGAGGAATCAAAGGGGAACTGTTAGGAAAATTTCCTAATTATGTTTATGATATTTAGACATGTTTTAATCATTTAGGAATATTTCCTAATTGTGTTTATGATGTTTATCAATGTCTTAATAATTTCATAAAGTTTCTTAATTATGTTTATGATGCTTAGGAAGGTTTCCTAATTCATGTTTAATTATTTAAGAAGGTTTCCTAAATTATATTTAATTGTTTAGGAAGGTTCTATTTGTGTTATTATGGCCAGGGTTATTTAAGGGGGAGTTTGGAGTAAGGTCAGGGATCATGCTTATTGATAAGTTTTGTGAGTGTTTGCTATCCACTATTTGTGTGAGGAATCTAGTGGGGCCTAGAATTTGGGAGGGTCCTCTCGAAAGAGGACAGATGTATCTTGCTCATTCGTATTTCGTTTCTTATCAATAAAAATTTGCGGTTTGCTGAATTTCTCTTGGTTTGTTGGCAGTTTTTTATACCAAGGCATATCATAATACAAATTTCAACTTATAGATGCGTTAGAGGTCCTATTTATAACAAAATATATAAATTCTCAAAATCCTCCCAGATCTAACATAATATTACAAGTTTCATTTCAGCAAGAACAACAAATTTACAATCTTAGTTTCAATTAAAAAATAAATTACAAAAGTTTAAATTTTCATTCCTGGCAAGTTCCAAATTTACCTACAGTGCAATGTCAAGGAATGAAATAAATCACCTACCAAACTACAGTACTAGGAAGGAACAATAGCCAAAGGCAAGACCAAGTATATTTGTAGCACCAAGGAAGGAGATACTGCAACTTGGTATAGTGAAAGAAGTCAAATAATGCTATAATGTCTGTAGAAGGAAAGACTGCAAATGAAAACAATCACACAAGAATAGTCCACGAAATAAGTAGTCATTGAAGAAAACTGAAGATTGCCACAATATATTGTCGCAATCCAGCAACAAAACTAAGAAGCACTAAGAAAATCTTTCTTTCTGGATAGGTTGGGGGTACTTATGGTTGGGGAAAATTCTTTCCAATGCCTCGATTACTTTGTACACTTAAGTGGCATCTCCCAATTGAATCAAATCCTCTGTCATCTCTCTTGGATGTAGGTTTAATATGGACGAACTACTTAAATTTTCATGAATTTTTGTGGCTTTTGATCTCTTTTTTTATTTAATCATATTCGCTCAATGGTAATCACTTTCTAATAAAAGGTGTTATTCCTAACAATAGGGCATCCAGCTCACCTTCACTTAAAAACTGATTATAATCATCAACAAAAGATTAGAAACAAGCCTCACACCGGCAAAGAACGCCTAATTGCAACCTATAAAACACCAATAAGATATATTAGGCTATGGTAACTATTAAAAACTTATTAATACAATAACACTAGAAACCATAACACTACAAGTCATTAACAGTTCAGCGAAACATACTGCATTTGAATGGAATGAGATTGAGAGGTCTATAGAAAGGGCTGCTTGCTCCAAGAGGATGTTTAGATGCATGACAGGATGTGTCATAGGGCCATAGAAATCTAAAGCTTTTTTCCAGTGCTTATCAGCTAAAGTAGAATACCACTTGGCCTTTAGATGCTTGTTTTCTCCTTTTGCAAAGCTAAGTTGTTTTTGTTCCAAATCTACCAGTTTCAAACAATTGTCTCTATGAAAGTTGGCAAGTTGGAAGTGTGCAAAAGCAGCTTCCTGTTTCCGCAGCACACCCAGAGATTCATACATGGACAATGCCTCCCTAAAAGCATCACTAGCTGAAGTTATCTTTTTATGTCGCTCTAGTGCGCTAACATTTACAGAATAGTCCTTTTTAATACCAGCATGAACGTTATCAGAAATGCCTTCTTTTGCCAAAAGCATTCCAAGTCTCAAGTATGTGTGAGCAAACTGTGTATACACTTCATTATATAACAAAGTATCACAAGTTCCACTAACGGAATCTAGTTCCATTTTTGCAGCATCATAATGCTTTAGTGATTCAAAATATTCCAATTTTGCAGTCTTAATGGCCTGTTTGTATGCATTTTGAAGGACATCATATTCAATAAGCTCGTCTAACTTGGATACCAGTTCTTCAGCCAATGATCTTCTCCCATGACCTAGATTACAGTATATAAGTATAATATTGGTATGGTCAGAAACCTCTTTGAATGCCTGAATTGCATCAGCAAATGCAATTTCCGCGGAAGACAAGTCCTTTTTATCAAGTCTATAGCGGCCTAGTTCATTACAAACCCATCCTTTCTTTTTTAGTATAGAAGTTAACTCCGGCGAACAAAGACTAAAGCCTTTCATAGCATTCCTTGCTGCATTATAACAGTACATAGCAGCTGACAAATTGTATTCTACATTATCTGGTTCAGGACCTCCAAGAAACCTGAAAATACCTCCATTTCCAACTTTAGATGCATTTGTGAAACTTGATGTAGAAAAGACTGTTTGCATAGAAGGTGTGTTATCTACTGTATTTTCATTGTCCAAGATACCTAAAACTGTTAAGTATGGATTAGAGGGTTTTGTTGGACTGTCATGCTCATCATCTTCTTCATTGTCGTTCTCACAATGCTCATTTTCAGAAGAATTAAAACTGTCTGACCAGCATGAACTGCTAGTATCATTACTGTTTCCACAATGTAAAAAAGAAGCCCTCAAGTTTGATTTTCTGTTATGCTTTCTGCTATAAGATGGGGGAGCATTTCCACTACTACTTGCACTGTTGCCACTGCTTGCTCTATCATTTTGACAACTACAGTTTATCAGTAAGCACGAACTGCAGTTTTTCATGTATTGTCCGAGCTTCTTCTTAAGACGCATAACCTCCCTTACAACATCATTTGACACCCTAAGCTCATTACCTGATATTCTATCATCTTTTCTTCCCTGAACTTCTTTACCTTTCGTTCTTTGATACTCCACATATACATCCCCGATAAGAGACCAGGCCTTAGGCCAGAATAAATAGACAGAAGATAAATGTTCAGAAAGATAACCTTCCTTACAGATATTGAAATTTAGGTCTTCTTGGGCATCTCTTAGAAAAAATGGGGTGTCATCGCTTTCTTTGAACTTAAGCTGATATGATTCCCCACTGTCCATAGATGAGATAAATCGAGCCTCATCTAGATGCTGTGGCATTGATCCATAAACTAGACAAGCTAATTCAATAACCTTAAGAGCTCGATGCAATTGCCCATCTTCCTTGTAAGCATCCCCAAGAGCTAGATACGACTCTCCTAGTAGCAAGACAAGATTCCACATCTTCTGGTCCATTTTAGTTTTTGGAAGCCATTCCCTAATATCGCAGATTTCAATACAGTTAACATCACCACATATGCAAAGAGATAAGTTGACTGTTGCTGGTTTTTCATTCAATCTGTTTCCAGGATCAAAAAAATCTCCTCTAGCATTTTGCAATTGCCTCTTCCACCTGAGAGATTTAATTGCTTGAGAGACATGGTGTATCGCAGCCAACTTGGAGGAGATTGGATCCGCAACTATTTTAGGTAGACTGGGAGAGGTAGATATCTGGCACATTTCTAAATTAGCTGTAGTTTGTGAAAAATCTCTTGCAACTGGTGCTGGGTACATGGAATCATTTTGAGGAGTTCGTGAATTGGCTTCTTCTATGTTAAGCAAGACAGATGTATCTAAAGATGCACCTGCAATAGTATTTCCATCTTTTGTTGGCGTATCATCTTGAGAAATCCCTGTGCTATGCCCAACTAAACCAAACATTGAGAATGGAAATTCTGAACATTCTTCCAAATTAGTCACTCTAGCCTCAGGTTCTACAAGAATTGTGTCAGATGCTAGCTCCAATTCCTCATAGCATTTCAAGATGAGTCGAGCAAATTGCTCATGAGCATATGCACGAACCACCTAGCATAAAAAATATAAATAAAATTTGTTTTTTTTATGAATTTACATTTCTTGAAGTCGGAAGTTGAGGAGAATCAAAACAGAAACACATAAATACCATATGGTCCTGCTCACGAAGAAAATCCAGGCATTTTTTAAAGAACTTTGCACACTTTGTCCGATTACTTGGTGCCTGCATGAATTATAAATCAATCAGAACACAAGGCACCTACTAAAAAATGATAGTGAATCTCTGTTTTAGAGCACCTTTGAGAGTGACAGCCTATGAGCAATACGGTAAAGAAGAGTCCCAAGAGAGAACATGGTATCCCTTCTTCCTTTTTGCATTAAGGACGATAAAGAACTGGGGGCCTTATCATGATTGTCATCTGGATGACTCTTAGGAAGGACAGACAGGTCGAAGAGTTGTATTACATCCTCTCCAGAACCTTTGTAGAGCTGAAAAAAAAAATGAAGGACAAATAAACAACCATGAACTGACAATAATCTATGGAAATAAACCAGTGGATGTAAATTTCATTTAAAATACATAAATCCATAAATAAAAAACGTGCTGAAGATTCACTATGTTTGCTACAGGAGATAAAACAGACATGCATACCCAATATGCACCAGGATCTTGTTTGCAGTTCTCTTGGAGGAACCTCAACACAGAAAGACCATTCTGCTGAACAACTTGTGGGTGGAATGCAGGAATTCCATCCTCAGATACACCCTTAAGTAGAAAAATATCGTCTGTTTTCACAAGTTCATAGCCTTGAACAACACCATTTTGGTGGTAACAGATAGCCAATTCAGGCACGCTCGCCATAATGTTGTCTAGCCAGGCTTCAAGCCAAGTTAGTGGTGTGACCTGTCAGAATGAAAATTAGATGACAAATGTAACTCATGAAATTAAATGTAAGATTCCAGATTATTATTGGACTTACTTGTCTTGTTACATCCCACAGGTGCAAGCTTACTGCTACATATTTATCATTGCTAAACAGAAGCATATCACTACCCAAAAGCATCCGAAAATTGTGAAATTGCCAAAATAGAACCCTCAGGAAGCCATTATTAACAGGTCTCCTGCGTTGATCAGAATCTTGTATTGGACGTCTTGGATTTTCGCCAATATGAGTTCTTTTGACGGAACCTGAACCACTTTTTTGCTTATTCATCTTGTTGTCCCAAAAGTATTTCTCATTATTGGACTGGGAAGGCTTTTTCCCTTTATTGGATTTCTGATCCAGAATCTGAGACTTACTAGTACGTGAGGGGGTGGAAGACACATAAGAATCCTCCACAAGTCCAAAGTTCACAGGCAAGCTAGTGGAGGTTGGTTGCTTCTGTGATGAAGGTTGGTGATTGGGCGGACAATCACAAGCCTCTGCTCTTACTGAGTGCATTGCGAAATTCAAAAATATTGAAGGATGGGAACATTTAGATTGGTTGCTTTGTTTTCTGAAAAGCTTTTCTTCTTCTTCAACATTGGGGCTTAATTTGTCAAAAAAATACAAAATAGTTAGAAACCCGTAAACCATCATGTTTCATTACGTTTAATTAAATTTAATGCGTATTTAAAAGCATACCCTGCATTTAGAATGAGAGTATCTCCAATCCGCTGAACAGCAACAGATAGTTGGGCCTTCGAGTAAGGTATCTTAAAAATCTGTTTCAAGATGTCTGTCGGAGCAACAACATCTATTTCATCACCATATTCCGTCAAACCTGATACCGCAAGTGCTTCACATTTTTTAAAAAGATTTTGAGAGAGCACACTATTATCCCATTGTATACCTGGTAGAGAAAAAAAAGATTTAAGTTCAGAATTTACCAAAGATTATAAAAAACGAGAATAATGGTAAAAAAGCATCAACAAGGTGTTATCCTAAATTGCTTAAATGTTTTAACAAAGATACTCAAAATTGAGAAAATTAGTAACAAAGCATCAATAAATTGTAATCGTAAATTCCCGAACAACAGAACACTAGAAAGAGCAGAACAGCAAATTACCAAAATGCATTTAAAAATGATATCCAGAGTAATCTTCAAGTCCTCAAGTTAGCAGCAAAAAGTGAAAAAGCTTCTCAATATAAGTGAAGCCAAAAATATAGCTTTATGGAGCCAAAAATATTGCTTTATGGAAACTCCAAGACGACGACAACAACAACATCAAGCCTTTATCCCACTACGTGGGGTCGGCTACATGAATACTTTTTCTCCATTGTGTCCTATTAAAAGTCAAATTCTCATTTAAATCTAATAAAGAAATGTCATTCCTAATATTTTCTAACCAAGTCTTTTTAGGTCTGCCTTTACCTTTCTTAACATAAGTCAAATCTAATACCTCTACTCTCCTAACCGGGTCATTGGAAGGCCGCCGTTTTATGTGACCAAACCATCTAAAGCGACTCTCTCTAATCTTATCTTCTACTGGAGCTACTCCAACCTTTTCACGTATATGCTCATTTCGTATCCTATCTCTAAGGGTAAAGCCACTCATCCACCTGAGCATCCTCATCTTTGTCACACTTAACTTAGTATTATGCTTCTCTTTTAATTGCCAACATTTAGCACCATAAAGCATTGCAGGCCTCACAACCATCTTATAGAATTTTCCCTTAAGTTTGAGGGGTGCTTTTCTATCACACAATAAGCCCGATGCATTCCTCCACTTCAACCATCCAACTTGAATTCTGCTGATAATATCTCCATCAATTTCACCATCACTCTGAACAATAGATCCAAGATATCTAAAACGTGTACTCTTATTAATGACTTGATCGCTCAAAGTCACAAACCCCTCACTAGGTCTATTACTACTAAAATTACACTCCATATATTCCATTTTAGATCTACTCAAGCAAAAACCTTTAGTCTCTAATGTTGACCGCCATAGTTCAAGTTTTATAATGAATAAAATACATAAAATAATTTATAAAATATAAATAAAAGCATAAAATGGAAAAAGAAAAGATATATGCAATGCCAATTACAGAAGTTCTTACCCGCATGGTATTGGCTAGAAAAACAACATACACGTGCACATTAAATATTAATGAAAATTATTGTACCTTTATAGATATATTTAGATGGTGCTCTTGTAGTAATGTAATTGTAAATGAAAATAAAAATGAAATAAATGTATAATAGAAATGGACAAATGAAAAAATAATGAAAAGCAATTTAAGTGTAAGAAAGACAAAAATACATATATGTTTTATTTTATATACCTAACTGTTGTATACAAAATATAATAGAAATGATATATATATATATATATGCATATATATACATGTAAAAGAAAAAAAAAAGCTATTAAACAAATTCTTTTTTATGTATGTGAAATTTCTACGTTACAAGTATGATTACCAATTGAGTTTATCATGTAAACTCAACCTATTAAACTAAACTTTCAGGCAAGTCTCCTTACAAATAGAAATTGCTAAAGAATAAAAGGAATATGTCTACAGGAAACGATGAACAAGTGAAAGCAAGTAATATATGATTTAGATAAATGTTATGCATGTGAAAAATTTTATTAGTAGTTTAATATAAGAAAATTGTATTAATGGCTCTTCAATTTTCTTTGAAACATATTTGATAAACTCTTTTTTTATTTGAAGAAATCTTACAAATATTTGATTATTCGTTCATGCCTCGTTAATTTAAGTATTTGGGCCGGATCGTGACAAAAGTGGTATCAGAGACCAATTAAGATATGAATCATACTGAAAGAACCATTAGGTTGATTATTGAAATTGATTTGATAATAAATTATAAATTTATGAAAAGTTTTAATTGTATTTCAGGATCCAGAATGATCCTGAATAAGACTTAGAAAGAGCAATGTCTAATGTTGTTGTTAACTCTGATGCACTAACACAAGTGATGACAGCAATGACAAAATTAATTCTAGACTAAAAAAATCAACCATCAAAAAGTACTAGTGTCAGTAGTATGACTATGGAAAGATATTTAAAGATATTTCAAGATATGAGAACGCCGCTATTTAAAGGGGTAGAGGGACCGACTAAGGTAGAAAACTAGCTGCTATGGATTGAGAAGATTTTATAGGGATGTTTTGCCCTAAAGAGAAGAAATTTTCATTGGCAACTTTTGTACTTTATTGTGAGGTTGAAAGATAGTGGAGGGGCTAACATCAAGATAAATTTGGAGTACCTAACATTCAAATTAAATGGGATGACTTTACTTAGGTGTTCAGAGACTAGCTTGTGTCTCTTTCTGTGAGGAGACAGATGCATAATAAGTTTTTAAGATTGGTATAGGGAGATAGATGAGTCATGCAATATGAGGCTGAATTCACCACATTATCTAGATATGCTTCTCAGTTAGTACATACTGTAGAAAAAAAATGTCACTGATTCTTATTTGAATTAGAGATGCAATCAGGCAACCCCTTGTTCTTCTGGGGATTGAAGATTATATTGTGTTAGTAGAGAGAGCTAAAATGATTGAAATAGACATTCAAAATATCTAAAGAAGACATAAATTTCAGAAGAGGAAGGGTGGTGATGTTATGAGAGCTTATCAGGATTCTTACAGTAAATCTACTTCATAGTTTGGGAAGTTTAATTGGAAGAAGGCAAAACCCAGTAGCAGTGGTAGTCAAATGAGCCTGAATAATTATAGCAAGTGTGAAAAGCAACACAAGGGAGAATGACTATCTAGGACATTTACTTGCTTCTAATGTCATAAACCTAGTCATATAGCCAAGAACTATCCTACACTTGGGCAAAGACCATCAGGAGAATAAAAGATGAATGCTAGATCTCAAAGAAATATTGGAAAACCAAGGATGATAAAATCAGTTGCTTCTACTCCAGAGCCAAGTCAAGTTCGATCCAGTACTCAGCCTAGCGTATATGCACTATCTCTGCAGGATGCGAAGGACTCACCTGAAGTGATTATAGGTATATTTTTTATTTAATTCATGAAAAAAAAAATTATTAATTGCATAATAAATCAAGTAATAAAATAATATAGAAATAGTAAAAGATATAATGAGAATAAATATATAATTATATGTATATGTTAATTCTTATGAAAATTTTATAGGAATGATAATAATTTAAGAAAAGCCTGTACAAATTCTTTTTGATACAAAAGTGTCACACTCATTCATTTCAAAGGAATTTGTTAAATCTGTTGGGTTGAATGTTTATGAAACAACTACATCTTTAGAAATTTTGATGTCAAATGGATCCACAAGCAATTTTAATAGTATATGTCAAATAGTTTTTAAAATAAATAAAAGGGAGTTTGAAATAACCTTGAATGTGTTGCCATTGCAAGAATTTGATACGATCTTGAGAATGGATTGATTATCAAATCACTTTGTGATAATAGACTACAATAGGAAGATAGTTAAATTTAAATTCCCAGATGAAAAATAATGGAAATTTTATGGGGATCGAGGATTTTCTTCAATGGTAATAACATATATGAAACCTTACAAATTTGTATCCAAGAGATATTTATGCTTCCTAACTCAAATAAAAGATACAAATAAAGAAATTAAAGAGTTGAAGGATATACATGTAGCCAAAGAATATCCAGAAGTATTTCTGGATGATTTGTTAGGATTACCATCAAAAAGAGAGATAGACTTCACTATTGATTTATTTTCGGATTCAAAACAAGTTGCAAAAGCACCTTAGAGAATGGTAGTTAAGGATTATAGGAGCTAAAAAGTTAATTACAAGAGTTGTTAGATAAATGCTTTATTATTCCAAGTTCCTCTTCATGGGTAGCACTAGTATTGTTTGAAAAGAAGAATAATAAGAGTTTCATAATATGCATTAATTATAGAGAATTGAACAAGCTCACTGTTAAAAATAAATATCCATTGCTCAGAATTGATGACTTGTTTGATCAACTTAAGGGAGCTACTATTTTCTCTAAGATTGATTTGCAATTGGGTATCATCAGCTACGCATTAAGGAGCATATTGCTAATGCTTCTTTCAGAACAAGATATGGTTATTATGAGTTTGTAGTAATGCCTTTTTGAGTGACGAAGGCTCCAACAATGTTTATGGATTTGCTGAACATAATTTTCAAATCATTCCTAAATATTTTTGTTATTATATTTATAAATGACATCTTGATTTATTAAAAAAAAAAGAAGAAAGTCATTCCAGTCATCTATATTATGTATTTCAAACACTTACGGAAAACAAGTTATATGCTAAATTTTCAAAACGTGAATTCTGGTTGAGTAGTGTAAATTTTTTTAGGCATGTGATTAGTGGTAAAGGCATTTCAGTTGATTAAAATAAAATTCAAGTTATTACAAAATGGTCGAGGCAACTACAGTTTCAGAAGTGAGAAGTTTTCTGGGTCTTGCTGACTATTACATGAGATTTTTAGATGGATTCTCTAAGATTGTAATGTCATTATCCAGGTAAACTCAAAAGGCAATAAAATTTAAATGGAATGGTTGATGTGAATGAGCTTTTCAGAAACTGAAGAATTTCTTAATGAATGCTCTCATATTAATAATTCCTTCAGGAATAGAGGGATTCTAAATTTTATGTGATTTATCATTGAGATATCTTGGATGTGAACTGATGCAAAATGGTAAAGTAGTGGCATATGCTTCAAGATAATTGAAAGTCCATAAAAGAAACTATCCTACACATGATTAGGAATTAGCTATTGTAGTTTGTATTCAAAATATGGAAACATTATTTATACGGAGTTAGGTGCGAAGTTGATGATGACCTCAAGACATGGAAAGTTTACTAAAGGTGTGACCGTCGATCTACGGCCATGATTATATCGCTCTACTTTTGATTTTCATATTTATTATTGATGTATTATTTTTATTTTATAATTTTTTATTATAATTTTCTATTTTTTGCCCTTACTTAATGGCTTAGGTATGTGTAAGCCCAAGGGGCATTATAGTACTTTATATTTTTTCATTCTATGGGCTATTTAAAGCCTCCTTCTTCCTTGAGGGTTAATGAATGAATTATAAGAAAATTCCTGCACATGTGTTCTTTGAGTTGTGAGAGTTCTAAGAGAGAGCATTGGAGAGATCCCTATAGAGGGAAAACGAATCACCCACCAACCTTGGAGACAGCCGGGTTCATGGTTTGTTTTATCGTTATTTTTTCCTTTCAATCTCTTTACTTCCTAGCCGCCAGATTCCCTAGCCACCCCACCTTGCCGCCGGCCAATGTCTCCCACCACCAAGCCATCCAACGCATCCTCCCTCCACACCCAAAACCGGCCCACCCTCTCCCAGCACCACAACCTCAAACCACCACCATCCATCCGTCCCCACTACAACCACCGGCTCACTTACCCAACCGAACCCAAGCTCAAGTCACTTCCCCTTCCCCTTCCCCTTTGGATTTTTCTCTCCATCATTGCTTACAATTACTCCTTTCCTAATTGGGTTGAATAATTTAGGTAACTTAACTTTGCAAAATTCAAATTTATTTGAATTTGAAAAGTTACCTAAAATATCATTCCTATATTAGGAAAGTTCCCAAATCCTTTCCTATTAATTTCAATTTAGATTAGGATGAAATATCTCATCCCAAATTTGATTCCCTCATTTAAGGAAGCATTAAAAGCTTCCTTAAACTCCTCCCTAGTCCATTAAGCCGCCGACCCCATCTTCATTGAGTCCTTGGATTTATTTCCTAAATCCAATCTCAACTCTTGGAAATAATTCAAACATATTCTCCCCAAATTCAAATTGTTTCCTAAAATAAAATTCTACTTTATGAAACTTATCCAATCAAATCCAAATCAAATTTGAATTGGATTGGAATTAATTCCTCCCTCCTTAATTAGAATTCCAAAAGAGGCAAGGAATAACTCCTCTTCCCAAACCCTCCACCCTATGGATGCCGCCGACCCCTTGCCTCCCTCCCCATTTAATTTCTTTCCAAACTTGGAGTAGGGAGATTGAGAGGGAAGGAATTCAAATTCTTATTCCAAATTTCATATTTGAAACCTTTCCTATTTGGTATGATCTATATTAGGAAAGTATTAACTCCCAATTTCAAATTTCAAAATTGAATTAGAGTGCTTAGTTATAATTCTCCTTTGAACTTTAAGTTACTTGTTGTCCATAAATTCCTCGATTCTAGCAGAGGCTGTCCTCTCTTCCAAACCTAAGAGAACTATTGTCCAAGGCCACCTACCTGCTGTCTAGTATCCCAGCAGGAGCTACCTATTGTCCAGCCCCTTGGGGAGACATCGTTATTGCCTGAAACTGCCCGGAATCGCTGTCCTAGGTTGGCTGCTTACTGTCCAAAGGTTCAAGCTTGGGTTGTTGCTATCCAGGCCATCCAAGAAGCCACCAACTGCTGTTCAAGCTTGCAAGAAGGTTGAATCTTAGTAAAGGGTGAACTCTTGCCTTCTCTCTTACCTTCTTCGTTGATCCTTGCTTGTGGTTTTATTTGATTCATGCAAAATCTTGTCAAGCTCCGCTAAAAGCTTAGTATTTTGTAGGAAGTGTGTGAGAGATCTTTCATTGCACTACTCTTATTGTTAGACTAGGGATTTTTTTTGAAACCCATCTTGTATGCAACGTCAAGAGTAATTGGTTGTTTTGTGGCTTTTACTTTCGCAAGTGACTTGACCTAAGCTTTTGTTACCGCTCTTTGTGTTTTATTTCATTGTCTAAATCACCATAAAGCTTTAGTTAACTTGCTCTTAATCATCAAGCATGCAAAATTCTTATTTAAATTGTATTTTCATATATGTCTTGCATCAGAAGTATTCATAGATCATAAAAGCTTAAAGTACATATTTAATCAAAAAGAGCTCAATTTAAGGCAGAGACGATGGTTGGAACGCATTAAAGATTATGATTTGGATATACAGTATCATCCTGAAAAGGCAAATATAGTTATAAATGCATTAAGTAGAAAGATGGTTGATTACTCAGCATGAGCAGATAATTAGAAATATGAAAAGATTAGAAATTTTAGTGGTTAATCAAAAGGATACTAAAATTATGATGTTGAATCATCCGGTACTCCAATCCACACTAAAGGATAGAATAAGAAATTCCTTATCTTAAGATGTACAGCTCCGAAAATTATAAAGAAAATGCAAGCATAACAGATGAAAGATTTTGTATTGGGTGATGAAGGATTATTGATATATAGAGGTAGAATTTGTAATCCAAATACTGACAATTTAAGGGAAGAAATATTGCAGGAAGCACCACTTTGATTATTAAATTCATCTAGGCAGTGCGAAGATGTATCAAGAATTTAGAGAATTATTTTGGTGGTCATGATTGAAATGAAGTGTTATAAAATTTATTGCAAAATGCATTCTCTGTCCAATGATTAAAGCTGAACATCAAAAGCCAGGTGGTCAATTAAAACCTTTACCTATACCTATGGAAATGGGAAGAAATTGCAATAGATTTTGTGATTGGATTACCCAGGTCAAGGCAGAGTCAGGATGCAATATGGATTTTTTCTAGATTGATTGACAAAATCCGCACATTTCTTACCAATTAAAAAGATATATTCAGTAAAAAAATTGGTAATGATATATGTTGATGAAATGATAAGATTGCATGGAACTCCAAAATCAACAGTTTCTGATAGAGATGTCTGATTCACATCTAGATTGTGGAAGAAAATTAAGGAACCTATGGGCACCAGATTGACTTTCAGCACTACATTCCACCCTCAAACAGATGGACAGTCAGAAAAGAAAATTCAAAGTTTAGAAGATTTACTACGATTATGTGTCTTAGATTTTGGTAAAAATTGGGAGACTCATATACCTTTAATTGAAATTGCATACAATAATAGTTTTCATTCTAGTACTGGAATGGCGCCGTATGATGCTCTTTATGGAAGGAAATACATAACACCTTTATGTTTGCTTATTTGATTGGCCTTTGCTTTCTAATTCTTTTGCTCCAAAATTATCAAAATTACATCTTGCTTTTGTTCTGACATTAATTTAGGCATTTTATCAAGTTGCAATTTTATTAAATTCCAACACTAATAATAGTAAAATATTTGTGTTAGAAAATTACCACCTCCAATAAACACACACAAATCATTTTGGTGAAAAGAAATACCAGGCAGGAAGCACCAGTAGGCCGCATATAGAATATGCTAATATGAGTTATATGCTGATAAGCATGCCAATATATCTTGTAGAAACTGACATATATGATAGCAAATGTATGCCAACTGCAAAGATATCAACGAATGGCATGCTTCACACACAATAAAAAGTCTCATATTCTTTTTTTCCAAAGGAAGATATTCCAAAAACATTAGTCATACAGCACAATTCTCAACCCTCTAGACCCTCAATTGCCACCTGCAAATTCCTTCTACAACTTCACCTAAAAACCATCTCACCTTGTTTATATTGTCAACTAATCATTCCTAGTATTCTAAATCAACATCATGTACTCTATCCTTATCTCCTTATCATCTATGATTTTGTACATGCAGTATAGTGAAGGTCGTTATTTATGAATATAAATCCATGTATATGAACATAAACATGAATATTCGATGATGTAATGATGCATAGAATCAATCTTCACTATATGTGCATGGACATTATATGACTAATGGAAAATCATATGAAGCTTTGTTTTATAACAGCATCCTAATTATATCACACAGCATGGTCTGTCTATGCTTCATAAGATAGCAGGCTTCACAAGTCATACAGTAACTTTGTAAATTATCCACAAAACTAGATTTTTCTGTGACAGTGAAGGTAAAATAAAATCATTCGTAAGGAGAATCGCTCATCAATTAATCATTCTAGTTCACAAAAATAATCAGTGGCTTGAAAAGTTATTATGCTTGTCACTTTGAACCTGAGTTAGGAAAGCACAACGAAAGACACTAAATCAAATTGCATGCAAAATACTGATGAAGCAGATGGCGATTCATCCACCCTACTCATCATTTTTTATGGAATAAGGACAGCAGTGCCGCCATAAAGGTAGAGATCCCTATATCGCCGCGCTACACGACTAGATTTCGCAAAGGCGATTTTTTTTTTCCTTCCCTTTAATGCAGTCATTACAGCAATCATGCATCCTTATTTATAATCCTTAATGCATTCAAACAACACTGAGTTAAAAGGCAAATATAATTCACCTTCACTGGTATTAGACTCCGCTAAGAAAGCTTTTTCTGGCAAATTGGAGAGTAATGGAAGAGTGTTGAGGTCGGTCTCCGCAGGAAGCATTTGATAGCGCGGAGCTCCAATTCTGAATCAATTTAAAACACAGGTTAGAGCTGAAATCGAAAAAGACAAGGGTATAAAAGGAGTAAAGAAGGACTACGTGTGGGGAGCGGGAACGATGGCAGCATGGAAAGAGGGGAAGGTGGAATCAGTTGGGACATGAAGAGTTCCGCACAGAAAGCCGACAGGTTTTGGCTTCACGATCTCTAACTTCCCCACGCACTGCAGCTGTCCCGCATCCTCCATGGATTCTTCAGCTTATTTTCACAATCCTTTGGTTCAAGATAGGTTGCAGCCGCCAGAAACGAGAAGCTTAGTAGTTTACGAGACCGATGTTCGGTGGAGAGGTCAGGCTTTCGACGATGAACACTTCACCGGCAACGATATGAGTCTACAACTATTTATATGTGGCCAATTTAATCCCAAAATATCACATTACTCGAATTTAGTATATCGAATATGCAAAATTAATCCAAAATGATTCCTCATAGATTAAGGCTTCGTTTGGGCGGCTTTTTTACTGGTTTCTAAAACGGAGTTTTAATACAAATTTTTTTATTTTTGTATTAAAACTCCGTTTTAGAAAGCAATAAAAAAGCCGTCCCAAATGAAGCCTAAATTACAGTCAATTTTATATAATTGATGGACTAATATAATTAAATTTTTATCATAGTTTATATATGAGGAACCAATTCGAACAAATTTTGTAAATTCAAGAGACTAAATTGAAGGAATGTGATAGTTTGGGACTAAATTGACTACATATGTGCTGGATTCAAATTTCTCTATGGGTGATACTTGATCATACTAGCAAGCAAAGCTCCGAGAGTGTGACTTAAAAATTTATATAAAAATGGAGAGAGTGATAATAGTCCACTAGCTCAAACGTTTGTAGAATAAGTGTCACTTGATGCTCAATATGTTAAAAGATTAAAAATGATCCTCTTCACCCTTCATTTGTAGCAACTTGAGGGCCACATGAATGGCCACATCAACATATGAATAAAAAATACAAAACTCGATGACTCTACAGACTTTGCTTAAACATGTGTCACACTCTAGTTGGCTAAAGGGTAGGTTGCCTTCCTTAAACTTAATTGGACTACCTTTTAGTAAGCAAAGTAGTGTAGAGTGCATATAGACAAGTAGGTAAGGATGAGTGTATTGATAACTGCTAAGTAAAGAGGCATGTACTAACTGACACCCTAAAATCACTAACTACCTATACTGACATCGTATTTCACCTTATGGAGAGAGAGGTGAGTGAGCTTGACTTATAAGATAGTTGAACTCCATGATTGGCTAGCTTTGATGGGGCAAGGTAGGAATCTTTTGAGTATGCACCTTCCCTATAATTAAAGTGGTAAGTAAGATCTAGGGCACCTCGTCATTGTAGATAGAGAATAACATTGATGATGAATTCTTCATGGGAGGAAAGTGACGAGTTAGGCAACCTACTATGCATCTATAACTATATATATGGGAGGTGAATCTTTATTGAGTCTTTTGTAGAGCAAGATTTCATGATCTTTTGGTGAGTTCCTTTCTAGGCCCATAAGGAAATAGCTCTTCCCTTGTGACATATCAACTATCTACTAAATATCTAAGAATACATATGCGAGTATACATTGAATTCCCTAATTCACTTCACCCTTTGGAGGGAAAGTGATGAAAAGGATAAGTGATTTAGTGATGAGTATTTAATAGGGATGCTAAACTATTATAGAAGAGTAAATACAAAATTTCTAACCTATTTTATTGTAGCCTCAATTATTGTGTAGATCTTATTAGACCCCATGAGTCAATTGAGATAAATAAGATTTTGGTGATCACAGATATTGGTTGTGATAATTAAACTAATGAATTTGTACGTGCAGGTTCCTTCTTGCTTAACCTAATAGTTCAATAAATCAGATTAAATATTAGATGATAATTGGACACAGTAGATGACAATCATAAAAACACAACCAATCAAGACCAAGAAATAGTGACATCAAAGAAGATTGTCGTAGCCATAAAAATTTTAATTGTATTTTTTAGTTTTTTTAGTCATCTTGTAATTTTTTTTTCAAGCATATGATTTATTAAACAACTAAACACATATATGAGAGTAAAATGGATTTTTAAAAAAATGAGAAAAACTGGAAATTAACATATCGTATTATATGTGTTGGTTTGTACTATATGATATACATGGCATAAGGAAAATTTTTAAAATTAGAAAATAAAATTAGTCAAAACTAATCATATTGTATGACTAGGATTGGGCCATAAGATCAATTATATTTAAATTAAAAACTACAATTTATCTATTATTTCCATGAATTGGTAATTTCCAATTAAAGTATATTATATTATATCTTTAGTACCATACTATATGGTCAATTATGATATTTACCTATTTACTACCCAAGAATCCAAGAATGTAATTAAAAATTAAGATTAAAAAAAGTATAATGTATGATATAGATCATGCAAGCCAAATAAATAGAGAGTATAGTGATATGACTATTAAGTATACAAACAAATTAAACATAATGTGAAATAATCATAATGTACAATATGAATCATACAGTCCAATAAAACAAAAAATTGTTTTTAGGATTAGTACATGATCTACTAATCAAACTATAAGATCAATATGACACTTTTACTAATCAACCTCTTCTAGGATTTTAATTGGAGCCACCCTATAAATACTTAACATCTAAGAAACCCTAACAAGGAATATGTTTGTGTGAAGAGTTTGCAAAGTAAGAGAGAATGTATGAAAACTTTGGAGTGTGTATGAAAACTTTGAGAGAGAATTTTTGCAACTTTGCAAAAGGCTTCAAAGATGATTAAGAGGGGAGAGATTTGAGAAGCATAAGGAATTTATTGAGATGATTTTTTATTTTTGAGTTAGGCATCCACTTGGTTGTTTCTCAAAATCATATTTTTATTTCTTTGGGTTGTAGCCAAAGCTATTGGTGGAGGGCTTTAAAGAGTCATATTGTAAAGATTCTGAAGATCTTGAGGAAGTTGTATGTACATTGTAAATCTTGTCAAGGAGGCATGGGTTTGAAGGCTTTTTTAGGAGAAGGGATGTGTAAGGGTTTCTCCATTACCCTATGAAGGAGAGAGGATTCTCAGCCTTATTGAGAGCAAAATGAAGAGTACAAGTGAAAATTCTAAGGAGAGGTCTTGGGGACCAATATAAATTTGTTTGCCTCTTCTTACATTTATTTTTATTTATTTATTTCCTGCATATTATTAATATATGTTGAATGATAATATCTTTATTGGAATTTACATTAAAAAGTAATTTTTTAACTTGTGATAATTAGTCATTCTTTTGATCTTATTAAATAAAATAATTTAAAAAGAAATATTATTATTCTTTTTACTCTTTTATTTTTCATACTTTATTTTAAAAATTATTTTAAATACAATTCTTCTTGAGAAAAGTAATCTTATTTCCATTCTTTTCAAAAAGTGGATAATTAATGTTTTGAAGGCTTCCATATAATCATAAAATTTTAAAAGGCACATCAATTCACCCCACTCTTGGGTATGTGGTACACTTTTAATTTTAATTTTTTTTTGGTAAAACCCACGGAGGGGCCTACGCATTAATTGCTATTAGAGATATTGCTTGCTAGATAGGTTTTAACACCACAAACAGATCCATCTCTTACACACTATCGAAAAAAGGAATTCATCAGAAGGGTATTTGATTTTTTGGCCACTACTATTTGATAATATATTATTTGACTTCTAAAAACTATGCATAACCACTTTCATATAATCAAGAGACTATAGAATATGGAACCTAGTACAAGTAAGATATACACCACCCCATAAAGTAGTAATTGATATAAAAATAGAATTTACATTCAATTAATGGAACTTTGAAGAAAGAGAGTCTACTTAACTTAATATTAAATATTTAAATTATTTTTTTATGCTTTAAAATTTGAAGATTACATGTGTGTTTCTACTTGTACGACTGAAAAAGAAATTTTGAAAAGATTATGTTTAAGACATGAAGAAATAAATGAGTGAAATAATATCACTTGAATATTTTTCTGCATGACTATGGAATCAAAATGTGCATAAAAATTTTAAAAATAAGAAGATTTGTTATAAAAAAGGTTTATATATAAAATTTTTAGAATTAGGATAAATATAAAGAGGCTTATAAGGAGTCTAACAAAGCAATATGTAATGCAAAAATTTTAGCTTTAAATGGTTTATATAATATATTAGATACTAAGGTGGGCAAAAGATACGTGTATAAGCTAGTCAAACAAAGAGATAGGAGTAGTAAGGATTTAGTTCAAGTCAACTGCATTAAGGATGAAGAAAAAAAGTGTATTTATTATAATAGGATATTCAACAAAGGTGGATAAGATATTTTGCTAAACTTATCAATGAATATTATGAGAATATGATTCTCTTTAATGAACATAGCACCCTAAATGAAAATTAAGATTTTGGTTTTTTATTGACGTATTAGTAGAACCAAAGTTAGAGAGGCTTTAAAGAAAATAAAGTATGGAAAAGCAGTGGACCTGATGATATTATATTAAAGGTGTGGAAATGCTTAGGAGATGAAGGAATTTCTTGACTTACTAAACTTTTTAATATTATTTTAAAGACTAAAAAGATGATGGATGAGTGGAGAATGAGTGTGTTGATTCCTATTTTTATGAATAAAGTTGATACACAAGATTATGTGAATTTTTGAGGAACTAAGTTAATGTGTCATACTTTAAAACTATTGGAGAGAGTTATGGAGCATGGGTTAGACGTAATACTAATGTTTCTGAAAATCAAATTGGATTCATACTGGGTAGGTATATTATGGAAGTTGTACTTTTATTGAGAGGTTTGATGTAGAAGTATAGAGAGATTAAGAAGAATATACAAATGATATTTATTTATTTAGAGAAAGTATATTATAAAGTTCCAAGAGAAGTTTATATAGTGTTCTAGAAAAGAAAGGGGCTAATAATACTTATATTAAATTCATTAAGGATATATATATAGGGGTTGTTACTTGTGTTCAAACACAAGGTGGTTTGACCAAGTATTTTCCTATCTCAATTGGATTACATCAAGGCCCAGCCTTAAGTCCATATCTTTTTCTTTAGTCATGGATGTTCTCATTAAACATTTGTAAGATGTTGTACCCTAGTGTATGCCTTTTGCTGATGATATTATTCTTGTTGACAAGGCTAGAGAAGGAATTGAAGGTAAACTTAAATTATGGAGGTCAACCTTAGAGTATAAGGGTTTTCATTTGAGTCAATTTAAAACTGTATATATAGAGTATAATTTTAATAATATTTGATCTAGTGGGGGGGGGATTGTGACTTTGGTGATCAAGTCATTAATAAGA